AAATTCTCATTCCCAGGTAAATAGTTTTCTGGAAGGCATCTGTTATTGCAAATAACACTCCTCCACGATCACTGTTTGGTTTCACTGTATTGATGACAGCAAAATCTCTATAAAAAGGTGATGGTATTATGGCACTTGTCAATCGACCGATGTTAGCATCTGGACCAAAGCTGTAAGCTGGAAACCCTCCATAGCCAGTGACAAAGTAGACAGAAGGAGGAAGAGGAACTCCTATTAACTCAGTGAGGTCAAGATGTCCTTTTGAGCCTCGTTCTGTAAAGTGTGTAGAAAAAAAACCATGTTAGTTAATGTGTGAGAAACATTCTTTATTCTTGAGGCGCTCAGCCCATTTAATATAAATGATTTAAGAAAGGCCTTAAAAACTGTAATGCAGTATTATAACACCATTAACATATTTCTAATACTTTAGGCCCCAGTTCAGTTAGTGATTAAACACACCTAGCTAAATACACATGTAATTCTTTGTCCTTTAACTAACCAAGGTTACTCCTATACTAAAGAAAAGTGCATGTAAAATTTGGTGAAGTTGATCGGTAACAAGTAGTTCCTGCTTCAGCTGTCCACAAATTACAAAAAGTGCTGAATGTGTTTGCAAAGTGAATTCAGTGAAGACTGAGCAATCTTTTGCTTTCTCAAAGAAAGATCCTTTATCCTCACAAACTGAGAAGGCAGTAAGAGTTCTCTACAAAAAGCATGAGAGGGTTTCACAAATACAGGATAAAAATTACAGTGGATTTACTTTAGCCCTTGCAGTTACCTGCTTCTACAACACAGCTCCACTGAAACTGAGAGCCTTTCCTCCCTCTACAATCTCCTCTAATCTTACATTCTTAAGTTTCTCAGTTTAGCTAAATGAGTTAAGTTTCTCATTTTATCTAAAAGTCTCAATTCTTCTTACTGGTGTACATTTTCATCCTTTCCAAAATATTTATGTTACTCAGAAGCAAACAAAGTGCTGAGGTGTAGCTACATCATGTAAAAATATAATCACTCATAAACTGTGATTTGTGACTAAGTAACTGCTGGCTTTTTCAGCAAACATGAGAAAAGATCTTCATGATCCAAGAAAGTCAGATTTTTACGTCACTTTCTTATGAACTGCATCCTAGCCCCTCTCTACATTCTTTGCTGAAAATCTTCAGATCCTGGTAAAAGAGAGGATATATTTGGAACCACTGTTTTTCAGTTCCTTTCTTTATCTACTTCACACACCAGTCTCCCATGGTTCTTAGATTAACTCCATCAGGCAAAAAACTAGTGTGGAAAGAGGCCTTGTGGTAGAATGAGTACAGATGAGTACGCATGAGGCACTGCTCAGGGGCACTTCCGTGTGATATCTCTTTATGAGGAAAGTTCCATAAGATGGTGTCCCTAGGCAGCATTAAGCAAAGTTATCTCGCTCAATGGTCACTTAATTTTCAACCCAGCACAGGGAGAACTGATGCCACCTGTGATAATTTAACACTGCAGACATTTACAGGGTACAGGAGCTAAACACAGTCCATCTTTTATATCAGGGCAACAGACAGCAGAGTCAGTCCCCCAATCTTTTTTTCTGAATAAGTACTTACAGAAGCTGAAAACGAGTTCCCAGTCTGCCTGAATATAAGCAGTGAAGAGACACATGAAACTGGCTCCTAGCCCAGCCTACCTGTAAAGGACTAAGTCATCCTCAGATTCTGATGCATTTCACCTTCAGAAGAGCTACATTTTACAAGCAGCCTGTACACTCTGGTCACGGCATGAGCTGAAATTTCCTGGATGCATATAAAACCGTGGGATGTATACATGCAATGCCAACCCAGAATACCTCAAGTTCTTCCTCATGTGCATAGGCTTATTTCTGCTTCTAATACCTGTAGTACTCCCTTTCCTGCCCTAGGATGTGCTAAAAGATAGTTCCAAGGTGCATGTGTTTATATTACCTGGCCACTTCAGGCATGATAATTTGCCACCAAGAAGGAGAAACTAGATAAATAATTTCACAGCTCTCACCACATCTTTTTCTCCTTAAGATACTAATGTGCCACTCCCATGTCATGAGGTTTTGGGTTTCAAGAATATAACAGGATGGGTGCCCATTACATGCTTATTTGGAGAGTCTTATTTAAAGCATTATAGCTTTTATGGAGCCTTTATAAGTCTCCATAAAAGGAGAAAATGATCTTGATATGAGGAAAATTGTACTGCCAATACTTCACTTTGCCTACAGTCTAATGTCCCAAGGGACACAGTGACCTTCCTCCAGGCTGGTGATTTGAAACAAAACTGGTAAAAAAAAGAATAAAAATTACTGTAGCTAATAATGTCAAAGTTATTAGTTAAAACATGACTTTTAATCTTTCTTCCCTGATTTGTAAGCATTCCCAAGTCCTTCATAATGTATATATTTGTGTAGTGTAGATTGATGAAGTATCTTTCAATTTTTAAACTTAATTACCATAACTGTAATAGTTATATAGGCTGAATATATCCAATTGGGACAGTAATGGAAAAGGTGTGACAGTCCAGATTAATACCACAAAGTGGACTCAAAAACTTTATACCTAATTAAAATCAGGAAGAATAAATGAATCTTGCACTTGGCTCTGAAACCTGGCAAGCTGGTTCTGAAGAACAGCTAGAGAGAGGTTCTTCAGCTGAAATATACCTTTGTTATTCATTATTTATATGCAGTACTATAATGGGCCATGTGTTGCAAAGTGTTTTTTACTGTCCTAGTGATTTTGCAAAGAAATGGTAAATTATTCTCCCTGTGCCAAAGTTGTTACAGTCCAGTTGAAATCAGTTCTAATCTGTAATCCTCTCTGTACTTGAGCCAAGTCTGATGTTTTGCCTGATAGATTTTGCCCCTTCCTAATAGCTTAAAAAATCAATTTTTTTTTTTTTTTAATTTTTTTTCCTGGCCAAACAAAGCTAATATTTTTTTGATTGTGACTCTAATATTGAGTCATACTTTATATTCACACCCACATACACGTACAGGAACCTCAGCTACAAACAAAATGCATAAGCTATTACTTAAATTTAAAAAAATAAGATAAATAGTAAGATTGAAGAAGAATATAGGAGCTGTACACAGATACCAAACCTAATTCCAAAGAGCCGTGGCAAAAGGGACCTAGAAAGAAGACAGAGAATATTTAAGGTGGCCAGCAGCCAGCTTATCAGACTTGCATAGCAGGGTGAATCTCAGGAGTGAATCTAATTAATAGAACTGTAGTTTCCCACTTCCTATTCTCAAAGGAAGATTTCATAAATACAAAAAAAGCCCATTAATTCTCTTCACGCACTATGTGGAGCTGCAGTGTATGTACAGTTTCCTAGTCACACACCAAATGATAAAATGCAGAGCTCAAAACTCTTGCTCTTTTAGCATAGGTTCTAAGACAAATGAAACATGTTTTTAAAAGGTGGCAGCAGAAGACAGTAAGAACAATCAGTATTTGGGTAAAATGAGCCAGAAGGCTCAGCAAATATCTGAACTTCAGTGAGACTGGAGTAGAAGCTTGCATCTATCCCCTATAGAAAAGCAAACAAGAAGCTTCTAGCCAAATTCTGGGCTTACAACTTATCCCAACTCTTAATGGATTTATGAGGATGTATAGTTACAGTTAAGAGCAGACTTACAGCCACAGGTTTTGCTCCCATTCAATTATCTCTGATAAATTAATGTCCCCTTGATGCAGTTATGTTAGAACAAAAATGCCCTCTTATTCCCTTAAATCAATGGGTAAACACTATGCTATTTTAAGTACCTTTAAAGCCAGCAGAACACTATGTTGCACCAGTATAATTTTATTTCAAACATGTACTTCTACTAAGCCACTGGATATTGGGAGCATCCAGAATTCATCACATTCATGTCCATGTTTCCTGGACCTGGGGCACTGGAAGGTGTAGTACAGAAACACCTTCAATATTATCTATGTTTTATCTCAAAAAATAAAGTAGTGGAATACCATAAATTGGGATGGTATTTTTATAATTCTGGAGTTATAAGCTGTGTTGTGTTCTGCATTTATTAACATTTGTTATTGTACTTTATAGTCAGAATTGTTACAGCATTTGCAGATAGCTGGATAGTCTCACAGAGGCGTTTGAGGAACTAGCTGTGAAGTATCAGTGTGTTGTAAATCAATATTTAGGTTATTTCAAGACTGCAGATGACAGTAGTGAAGGTTTTTTTCTTCTTTTAGTTATATTTTTTCATGTAATTACCTCACTGCTTCAGTACTGAAAATAGTGAAGCTGTAAAAACAACAAACCACTATTTGGTATTGGAAGATATTCTGTTTTCCTAATTGTGTCTTAACGCAGCAATCAGTAACAGTGAAAGATCATGAATCTTAAAATGGACTGGAAAAAACAGACAAAGCTCTTTAGAAATAAGCAGGAGGTCCTCCTAGAATATATTGGTATAGACAGTTGGAGCATTTTCTTCTGGATGCCTAAGGAAACCTCAGAAGCTATTTTTAGTGGTGTTGCACAGCCAAAAGTGAGGCTGCAGTCAGTAGGAACTGTGATACTTACTGACATGTAAAATCAGGCCCGACATTCTTTTGTGCAAACCATTTTCCAACACTTTCTGCCAACAGCTGGTTTTACATCATTATCATTCTGCCCTGTTCTGGACAAAAATATATGTAGTTTATGTACCTAAATATAGTTCGTTAAATATGCATCTATATTGCACAAAATGGTACTTTTTGTCCCTATCATGTCTTGTTTGAGAAACTTTATTTCATCACAGTGCTTTCAAGCAAATAAAAAAAAAAAAATTTTCTTACATATAAGCTATATTTTTCAGGTTTTCTGATCTAATACTGGACTAATTATTGTTTTATTTGCTGCTTGTTTGGAAGATTTTCCATATACATTTTTGTGCACATTGTTTTTTGTATAGAAACCCAAGGTCTTTTGATATGTATTATACTCAATGAACTATTCTCCTTTCATTAAAAAAATCAGCATTTAAAACACATTGTCCTGGTTTAGCTGGGATAGAGTTAATTTTCTTCCTGGTATCTGGTGCAGTGCTGTGTTTCGGCTTTAGTCTGAGACCAGTGCTGATAAGACACCGATGGTTCAGTTGTTGCTTAGTAGCACTTATCTTGAGCACTTTTCAGTCTCTCACGCTCTGCCAGTGCGGAGGGGCACAAGAAGCTGGGAGGGAGCAGACAGGACACCTGACCCAAACTAACCACAGGGATATTCCTTTGAACAAACAAGAGGAATTAGAGATGTGTGCACGTCTACAGGGGTATGATATAATAGGCATCACAGAAACATGGTGGGATGGCTCCTATGACTGGAGTGTTGGAATGGAAGGTTACAGGCTCTTTAGGAAGGGCAGGCCTGGCAGGCAGGGAGGAGGAGTTGCCCTTTATGTTAGGGATAGGCTGGAGAGTATGGAACTCTGTCTGGGGACAGGTGAGCAGTCCACAAAGAGTTTGTGGGTCAAGGTTAAAGGGAATATAGCTATGGGAGACATTACTGTGGGGATCTGTTACAGACCGCCTGACCAAGGAGAACCTGCGGATGAAGCACTCCATAGACAGATAGGAAAAGCCTCACGCTCACAGGCCCTTGTTCTCATGGGTGACTTCAACCACCCTGACATCTGTTGGAAGGACGGTACGGCCCGGCACAAGCAATCCAGGAGGTTCCTCGATTGTGCGGAAGACAACTTCCTTCTGCAAGTAATAGAGGAGCCGACAAGGAGAGGTGCCGTGCTTGACCTCGTGCTCACCAGCAGGGAGGGGCTCATTGGAAATGTGACGCTCCAGGGCAGCCTTGGATGCAGTGATCATGAGATGCTCGAATTTGAGATCCTCAGGACAGTGAGAAGAGCGTGAAGCAAGGTCACTGCCCTGGACTTCAAAAGAGCAGACTTTGACCTCTTCAGGAACCTGCTTAGTAAGGTTCCAGGGGATACAGCCCTAGAGGGCAGAGGGGCCCAAGACTGTTGGTTGATATTCAAGGATCACCTGCTGCAAGCTCAGGAGTGTTGCATCCCAACCAGAAGGAAGTGCAGCAGGAGGGCCAGGAGACGTCCTTGGATGGATTAGGAGCTCCTGAGGAAAATTCAATTGATAAAAGAGGCTTATAATAAGTGGAAGCAAGGACAGGTGGCATGGGAAGAGTACAGGGATGTTGTCCGAGAAGCTAGGGACCAGGTTAGGAAAGCTAAGGCCCAGTTAGAATTAAACTTAGCTAGAGGTATTAAAGATAACAGGAAGGGATTCTAGAAGTACATAGCAAATAAAAAACAGACTAGGGAGAATGTAGGTCCCCTCAGGAAGCTCTCAGGAGAACTGGCTACACAGGATTTGGAGAAGGCTGAGGTTCTGAATGACTTCTTTGGCTCAGTCTTCACTGCCAAAGGCTCTGCCGCACCACCCAAGTCTTGGAAGGCAAATGCAGGGACTGTGAGAATGAAGACCTTAGGCCCACTGTAGGAGAGGGTCTGGTTCGAGACCATCTTAAAAATCTGAATGTGCACAAGTCCATGGGGCCTGATGAGATCCATCTGTGGGTCCTGAAGGAGCTGGCAAATGAAGTTGTGAAGCCGCTGGCCATCATGTTTGAGAAATCATGGCAGTCAGGTGAAGTTCCCGATGACTGGAAAAAGGGAAATATAACCCCCATTTTCAAGAAGGGGAAAATGGATGACTTGGGGAATTACAGACCAGTCAGTCTCACCTCTGTGCCTGGCAAAACCTTGGAGCAGATTCTCCTGGAAGGCATGCTAAGGCACATGAACAACAACAAGGTGCTTGGTGACAGCCAGCATGGCTTCACTAAGGGGAAATCCTGACTGACCAATTTGGTGGCCTTCTATGATGGGGCTACAGAACTGATGGACAGGGGTAGAGCAGTTGATGTCATCTACCTGGACTTGTGCAAAGCATTTGACACTGTCACACACGACATCCTTGTCTCTAAATTGGAGAGACATCAATTTGATGGATGGACCACTCGGTGAATAAAGAACTGGCTGGATGCCGCACACAAAGAGTTGTGGTCAATGGCTCAATGTCTGGCTGGAGACCAGTAACGAGTGGCGTCCCTCAGGGATTGGTGTTGGGACCGGTCTTGTTCAACATCTTTGTTACTGACATGGACAGTGGGATTGAGTGCGCCCTCAGCAAGTTTGCCGATGACACCAAGCTGTGTGGTTCAGTTGATACGCTGGAGGGAAGGAATGCCATGCAGAGGGACCTTGACACGCTTGTGAGGTGGGCTGATGCCAACCTTATGAAGTTTAACCATGCCAAGTGCAAAGTCCTACACCTGGGTCAGAGCAATCCCAGGCACAGCTACAGGTTGGGCAGAGAAGAGATTCAGAGCAGCCGTGCAGAGAAGGACTTGGGGGTGTTGGTTGATGAGAAAATGAACATGAGCTGGCTGCAGTGTGTGCTCGCAGCCCAGAAAGCCAACTGTATCCTGGGCTGCATCAAAAGGAGCGTGACCAGCAGGTCGAAGGAGGTGATCCTGCCCCTCTACTCTGCCCTTGTGAGACCTCACCTGGAGTATTGTGTGCAGTTCTGGTGTCCTCAACATAAAAAGGACATGGAACTGTTGGAACAAGTCCAGAGGAGGGCCACGAGGATGATCAGGGGGCTGGAGCACCTCCCGTATGAAGACAGGCTGAGGAAGTTGGGGCTGTTCAGCCTGGAGAAGAGAAGGCTGCATGGAGACCTCATAGCAGCCTTCCAGTATCTGAAGGGGGCCTATAGGGATGCTGGAGAGGGACTCTTCATTAGAGACTGAAGTGACAGGACAAGGGGTAACGGGTTAAAACTTAAACAGGGGAAGTTTAGGTTGGATATAAGGAGGAAATTCTTTCCTGTTAGGGTGGTGAGGCACTGGAATGGGTTGCCCAGGGAGGCTGTGAATGCTCCATCCCTGGCAGTGTTCAAGGCCAGGTTGGACGAGGCCTTGGGTGATATGATTTAGCGTAAGGTGTCCCTGCCCATGGCAGAGGGGGTGGAACTAGATGATCTTAAGGTCCCTTCCAACCCTAATGATTCTATGATTCTATGATTCTATTCAGCCATAATCCTGGACAAACAGTATCTGCAGCAGGAGGGTAGGAGAGAAGGAGAATTATCTGGAAGAGAAGCACAAAGGCATGGGGTGCTATGCTAGTAACTATCAGGAAGAATACAGAAATAGGCTGGGTGGAAGGGAACAGAGCCCTGGGGTGAATTAGAGAGACAAGTGCAGCAGAACTTGAACTGCTGAAGGGTGGTTGGAGGCTCAGAAGGGACAGGGCTTGTGACAAGCAATAGCTCATCTTAGGTGCTGGCCTGAAAAGGGGTTCAGCACAAAGTGATAGAACAAAACCTGATATGAAAGTGTAAGTTTGAGCAACTTTAGTATTTCTTTAGAAACACAGAACCCTATCCCAATGACTTTCCCCTGACAAAGTCAGCACTGAAATGGGTTTTGTGCAGTTCTTGCACTCAGAACAATGCAAAGATGCTATCGCATCGCTTGTTCAGGTAGGGCAGGTGTGCATGAGAGGGAAAGTACAGGCTTCCAGGACAACTGCCCACCTAAAGATAATTGAACAAAGTTTACCTGTATAAGTATTGCAGAGTCTGTATTGAATACTGCAGCTGTCCAATAGTATGCACCTGTGGCAAGGTTGGACAGCGGCTTTATGAAATTAAGGTTTTGTGTGGTGTAAATATGTAAACTATAATGCGGACAGTATCGTTGCCAGCAGGAGGGACAAGTAGCCTTTAACGATTGCAGGAGCTTTTGCATTTCACCACTAGGCGACAGCAGAGCACTTAATAAATCAGATGGAGCTTTGGTTTAGGTATGAACATTGCTGATGATTCACCAGTGTCAGCGTCTGCTGGGTGCTTTCTTTTACAACGTCTAAACTAGCATATGTTTTAATTTCCATTGCGTTTATAACAAAACAGATGTGAATTATCACCCTGTTCTTTTTCTTTCACAATGACCTTGGAAATCTGACAAAATACATTAAACTAAGTCTGCTGTGTGTTTTCTTGGGAAAAAAAAAAGAACACATTGCTGTTCTTGTTTTCTCTTTCACTGTCTCTTTTTTAATCTCGAATTTTAAGGCAGAAAATTCTTGCAAGGGCATTGACAACACCCTCATTTCCAAAAATATGTATTTCTAAGATGATGAGGGCAGTTCTCTTAAAGTACTGGGAGAAACATCTGACACTTTCCTAGATTTAACAGTTGTACACGTCAGGAGAGAGTCTCTGCCCAAATGTGGAAAAACGGACACCTATTTAAAGACACTGACATAGTCTGGCACACTGACCTGGATATAAATTCTCATCCCATATAAAGAGATTTTAATGGGAAGCTAGGATAGAGAACACTTAATCAGCAGCTCCTGGAGTTGCTCCTGCTCTTTGCTAGCCCCTGTCTCCACTACAAGGTTCTGTCCTTGGACCAGGGGCATAAGAAGGATATGAGCAGATGGGAATTGTGGGTTTACAATTCCTCTGTGAAAATCAGAAACCTTCACCCAGAAATGTTCCTTCCCTCCTCACACCTACCACACCATATCTCTTAGCTCAGCCAAGTGATCTGAACACTGTCATCTCTCTATACTTCCCAGGAGTAATTTAGCTTGCCTTTCCACTTGACACTGTGAATGACCAAGGATCTTCTTTCCTGTAAGAAAATCCTGCTCCAGATCATCACCACCACCAGTCAGTGCTTCTGTAAGAAGACAGATATCATGCTCCCTTCTCATACCACTTTCACAACATCTGTTTCATCAAAGCATTAGGAGTCAGCATCTAGTGAGGCTTGACTTCAGGCTAAATTTGTATGCTCTGTGCAGTTTGATCTTGCAAGCAGAGCCTCAAGCCTACCCAAGTATGCAAGGGCAAGCACTGTCCCAGACAGGGCTGGAAAGACAGCCAACAAGGAGTCTTTGAGTGGGACATGAGAGAAACAAAAAAAAATTCAGTATTTCTGTAACTTCTACCTTGTGGCATGGTCTCCATGTGATGGAGGCTAATACATCTACAGG